TGCTGCTTCAGAATTGAGGATGGTAAGACCAGACGTGCCACTTTCCGGCGGAGTTGGGCACGTGCCCTCTGCCGCTTGTCCCAAGACGTCTGCTCCTTTTCATCTAGGCTGCGTCTTTAAAATCTGCAAGCCTTTAAACAAAATGCTAGAAACTTCTGTTTAGCTGTGCTTAATGTAACTATATCCAGCATTTAGTCATGAATAGGATTAAAAGATTTTGCCAGTTGTTCCTTGGGATAGAAAACAGTAATTATGTGTTTTATGTCTTATTTGCCAAATGATTGGCAAACAGCCGTGTGTGTTCGTTGCAGCTTTAGTGTTCCTGGTGTTTTTGTGTTCTGCTGAAGTTCACATCACAGAGAGGGAACAGGAAGCCGGCAGAAGGTTCCAGAGAAAAGGAACTGGGCGACACCTGAGATGACCGCTTTAAACACAACACTAAAATATGGAGAGTAAAAACACACGAAAGAGGCGTGTGGGGAAAGGACGCCCTGAGCTTTAATCGGGGGAGACTTTTAACGCCTAAGTGAGAAGTTAAACCGACCGACTCGATGTTTCTCGGCTGTGGGCTGAATGCAAGGTTCCCTACATGCTATTGTTCAGTCAGAGTTACTGTATGACTCTTTATTTTTTTAAATAATTCTTGGTAGTTCCCCTTCCTGGGGTGTCTGGGTGTAACGTGGCGTGTTCTGACCCCAGTTCCTGCTAATGAAGGCCTCTTCCTCCCCCACTATTTTCCTTAACCCTAAACCTAACCTGGTCCACTACATAATGGGACTAATTCAGGGCCAGAACCCCCCCCCCCCACACACACACACACACACCATGCAAGACCAGGAAAGAGAACAAAAGATTGCAAACTGTTATTACTGCTGATATGACTATTATTACTATGGCCATTGTTGTGCTATTATGTATTTAAGAGGGGGCAGGTTAAACAGAATCACCTCATGTGCAGCAGCCTGCTGGCCTGGGGCTGGGCAACGCTGCTGCTGATTGGCTGTCTTGTCATTGCATTGCATGATGGGACGATGTCCCAGCCCAGGCATGTCAGAGCATGTGGAGGGAACAAACCTATTAGCTGATAAATGGTGAATGGCAGCATTTGTGTGTCTTTGGCTAACCAGCTGTGTTCTTTAGCAGTAACCGATGCCTTTGCCTGATGCATTGCACTTCTTCCGTAACGACTTTGTTGCAAACGTCTATAGAGTTACCCTTGGTACTCCCTGCCGTGGGCCTCTACCAACCCTCTACCCGGCAATGGCTCTCATGCTTAGGGGATTGACATGAGTACAGATACACTTGGCAGCAAAGATTGGGTGTGTAGAAAAAAAGCATAATAGAGTTAGGGATGGTGTGCTTTGGAATCCCTCAAAACATTCGCATTACGCAGCAAACGTTCCAGCCCTGCGCAGCCAAAGAGCTGGCGGATTTGACGGAGGTCGGTCGGGGTTTTGTAAACTAAAAACGGAATTCCAAAGAACGGGACATCAGAGCAGTGTCTCGAAAGAGCGGCAACATTCCCACCAAAGATCGGGACACAGGAATAACAGAAGGGCAGATTGTGTCTTTACTTCCCCTCACAGTACGAAAAATAACTTTATCTGCTGGTATATTTGGTTTTACGAGAGTGAAAATGTTCTATTTATAAGTGCAGAGCTGTGCTGATGTTGGATTAGGAGGACAGCTTGTCAGTGTTGCCAAAGGCTGGGTTTTTATATTTGGGTGGGATATAAAGGAAAAGTTCAGAAACTCCCCAGGAAAGGGTGCCTGCACACACCCTTGTTAGTCAGTCCTGAGTGGGGGGGACGTAGGCTTTGCAACCTGATGTTATTGTTCTGTCCCAGGTGCCCATTTGAGTGGTCTGTCTGGCACGGAGTCAAGGATTCAAGGGGGGGGGGGGGGCGCCGCAGCCGGAAGGACAGAGTCTGCTTCTGAACCACTGGCCTACTGCGTGAGATTTTGGCACCAGGGTCTCAGATCTTTGTGTGCTCGCTGACAAGGCTGATCCAGACTGGTTCTGGGAACAGGAAGTTAAGTTAAATGCAGAACAGTTCTAATGGTAGGAGGAAAACACGTGAACAACTGCTGAATAACTGACCGTGTGTGTGTGTGTGTGAGAGGCAGAAGCCAGCGAAGGAGCCCTGGATCTCTGTCATGTCACAGATGTGGGAGACACTGCATTTTTCGCAGTCAATCGCAGTCTGAGGCACACAGCCCCCCCCCCCCCAAACCAAACCCTCCCCCATCCTGTGCCTCAGGCAGAGTGTGGAGCTCCTGACCTAATCACACACCCTCCCCATGACCCAGCAGAGGGAAAGTACGACAGTCACTGCACTGACCCAAGTGAAGCTTTTGGGCATTAAGAAAAACCAGAGACAAGCCTCAACAGGCCACATTATGATTAATGCCTATTAACAACTACGCACCACAGCCACAAACTACTGCAGCCTGACTGAAACTGCTTTCCGGAGAAAAAAAAAACGTTTTCTTCCTGAGTTGGATCGTAAAACCCTTACAAAGCCGAAGCTTTGGGAAGAAAGACGGGCGTCTGGAGGCGCTGGGACCCGGCAGACTCCCGCCCGCTGCCCCACCCCTGCAAACAAAGAGACCCTCAGTCTGCCTTATGTGCCCCAACCGGATACTTTAATTCCCTTAGATTATCATATAAAACCAATTTGCGGCTAATACTAAATTCAAAAATAGCTCGACTTTAAGATTTATATAATTCCCCGCAATTTGTGTACATGCAATTCAATAAGCAATAATGAATGCAATCACAAGTTGTCAGTTGATGGAAATTAACAATCAAGGCTTTAATTTAAACATTTAATACTTTGTTTGGCAGAATTTTACACACAGCACGTCGCTTTGTAAACATCCCATAAGTCTTTGTATGCATTTACGTCCTTTGAAACAAAGAAAAAAATCCTTTGTACTACAGGCATTAAGACGTAAAAATATTATTGAACAATTTAGATATTAAAGAAAAAAAAAAACCTCTGTAGTAGACAGAGCAGAACATTTCACACAACGCTAGGTGGGATCGCTTCTGGGCGCCAGTTCCCACGCCGCCGTGGTCAGCTTGGAGAAAAAGTATGGAAAAACAGCCTCTTTCCAAGGGCTTTTCAGAAACAACACAAATGAACACGTCGTTTACAGATCACAAACGCTTTCTAGGATGCCACAATGTATAAATGCTGATGTCGAAGAGCCTTGGGCAGCATCTAGACTTTGTGCAAAATGGAAGTAAAGAAAGGGGCTGCTGCGCTCAGCAAGGGGCAGCCGCTTGCTCCGTGTCACGCGCCGCAAAATACCGCGGAAGGTCTAATAAGGGACCGAGACCAAGCCGGCACCGTTAACGAGACGGGCCGCCTCCGCCCAGCCTGCTTTTTAAATTTCCCATCCCGACTTCAATATTACAGCTGTGACGATTTTACTAGATCCAAAAGTTTGTCGCTCTCAAAATATCACCCTCTGTCCCCGACGCTCCGTCTCCCGGGGACTTTGCGTCTTTCAAGCTCTCCGGGGTGGATCTGTTCCTATGTTCTTCACACTCAAACGGGAACGGGACGGAGCAGCGGCCAAGCATTCAGACCCCTCAAAACGTGACCCCCCCCCCCCCCCCCCCCCCCCCCCCCCCCCCCCCCCCTCTTTCACCAGGACATTCAAATATAGGGAGGCCTACTGAATGTAGAACATGCCACAGGGAGCGCTGTGCCAGATGCAAGTTTTCGTCTCTTCCTGTTTTTGAGGTGCAGGCTTCCACTCTGACGAAGCCCGGAGACGTTTCCCTTCGGTGTTGTGCCTTGCAGGCCATTGTACTTCTTCCCGTAAAGCTAATATCCTTCCATTGTAGGGGATGGTTATTTTTACATAAATACCCAGAAGTTCAGATGACGACTGGCCTTTAAGATCTCACTGTAGCGGCCACATGAGTCAGAGATGCCCTCGCATGGAGTCGTCTGTGCCCCCCATCTATATCGTCACAGTCACCACGTTCCACTTTCTCCAGGCTGGGAGTTGTGTGGCATTGTACCAATCCCACGTCAGACACTTTGCATGGAGCTGCAGTCGAGGCTGATTCCCTCACACGGGTCTCGGAGGGGTCAGCTGATACCAGTCTCCGTTTTCCGTAAATCTACAACATTGCAGCGTGATCTTCTAAGGGGGAAACTGCTTTGAAGCAGCGTAGCTACAGGAGGGACCGGCTGTAGTGAACATACCAGGTTCTCCTGGCTGGGGCCTGTCCTGAATGCAGCCATCAGAGATAAACAAAGCCGCTGGCCTTCCCTTCTGGCCAACCTGGCCGAGTGCCACCGTCCCGGGCATGGAGAAAAGAGGGAGGGGGCAGCAAGAGAGACCTGAAAAGGTAGTTTGTAAGCAAATCAATCTTTCTCTATACAAATAATACATCTTCCACACGAGCTGGACCTTGAGATCCAATTCGCTGTCTTGTGGCTGATGCATTTATTCTGAGTGGAATCAATAACAGTCCCCCTCCGTCCATGAAGCAACAAAATCATGAATAGATGAGGAAAACTGATGAGCCAGGGGCTGAAATTAGAACGCACGGCCAACTCGCCTCCGCAAAAAGGACAAAAGCTGACCTCTGGTTCACGTGGACCCCCCCCCCACCCTCCGCTATTCGCCATGAATATGACTTTTCAGACTGATTGATGTGGCACACACTTGTGGTGATTATTTGTTGTCTGACTGTCTTTCTGTCTTGAGAACGTTCGGAGAATGTGGCTACAATGTTCCAAGCCTTCATTTCATTGGGGGTTTAAGACCAGGACAGGATAGCCCTTGGGGTCGTCTTCTCATTTCGGGGGAGGGTAAATGTCGCTGAAACGCAGGACCATGCAGAGTCATCGCCACTGGCGCAGCCCAACACTGGATCAGCCGGACACTGGCGCAGCCCGGCACTGGCGCAGCCCAGCACTGGATCTCCCTGAGTGGGTCGGCCAGCGATCAGGGGATTCCCCCCTTTNACCCCCAGAGTCACCTGGCGTTTGCGAAGCCTGTCCAACCAAAGTAGTATATATATATAAAAAAACACTAAATTAACTGTTGGCTGTCACTTCTCGATGGGCCTGTCACCTCCAGCTACCCGGAGGATGTTTATGCATCACCCCTCGCCCTCTGCGCATACCAACCTCCCCCCCCCTCCCCTCAGTGTACCCCAAAGGTCTGCTGGTGGGGTCCCTCTGTCCCGTTTTCATGAGTCTTGGCACAGATCGACGCCGGAGCATCACATGCCCCATCACTTGCTCGTTTCGTGCTTGTCAGCGGTCCGTCCAGGAGTTTCACAGCAACTTGCAGCAGTTGACGCAGCCGCCCGACGGCCTGGAGCGTTTCTGCAGGGCGGCCCGGGTGGCCGTCTCGAAGACCTCCCGGACCCCGTCCTTAGTCTTGGCCGAACACTCCAGGTAGTCGTAGGCGCCAATGCGCACGGCCATGGCCCTGCCGTCCTCGGTTTTCACGGGCTCCTGCTTCATCCGCGCCAGCTCATTCCTGACGTTCTCGTCGTTGCGCAGGTCCTTTTTGTTGGCCACCAGGATTATGGGCACGTTTGGGCAGAAGTGCTTCACCTCGGGCACCCACTTCTCGGGGATGTTCTCCAAAGAATCCGGGCTGTCCACGGAGAAGCACATAAGGATAACATCGGTGTCCGGGTAGGAGAGAGGGCGGAGGCGGTCGTAGTCCTCCTGTCCGGCCGTGTCCCAGAGAGCCAGCTCCACCTGCTTGCTGTCCACCTCGATGTCCGCCACGTAGTTCTCGAAGACGGTGGGTACGTAGACCTCCGGGAACTCGTCCTTACTGAAGACGATCAGCAGACAGGTCTTTCCGCATGCACCGTCCCCAACCACCACCAGTTTCTTACGAATAGCGGCCATTTGATCTGTGTATATATATATATAATCAAGGGACAGTAACGGCTAAACCAGTACAAAGTGTTGTTTTTCAGAGGCGACTTGCAAGTCTCTATAACGAATCTTTCATACAACAGAAGCGCTCGACTAGGTACACAGAATATCACTACCACCCCAATATCTCCCAGCGAATACACGACGAATATCGGAGCCGTTAGCTTTTAAAGAGTTCAGCCGCTTTCCTAATATAGCCATCCAATGGCATGAAGAAGGATGATGTCACCGTTTCAAATAGAAACTTTGATAGGCTCCGCAGTCCTATTACATACGTATGGGTGGAGCTATCCTATTCGCCACGAGGACTTGCGCCGACCTGAAAGCGCGTCCGGGACCGGGGACTGCGCAGACGCGGACATGAAGAGTTTGGGAACGAAATGAAAGGGTACACGCGGTACAAGGCACTGCCGCGCTATTTATGTTCTGCAGGCAGTAAATACACCGTCAATTAGCCAGCCACAATAAATGAAATCCTGTATAATGCCGTATTTTATATTTAAGCCGATAGTTTATGATAAATGAGTAATAATGAGTGCTTCCAATCTAGATTCATGAAATATGACTGTTGTATGCGACAGAACTATTAATTTTTGCTCATAGTACTGCCTGTATTTTATTCTTGGATTAAAAACAGACGTTCAAATTCTTGCCCCTAATCACAGTTCTTTTGTTTAGTTTATCTGCAGACAAACGTTGTCATTTGACTCAAGCCTTGATTCACACGCAGGTGCGATGCGATTTCAGCGCCACCCGGCGGATACTACGCCTGTGTGGAGTTTTTATGGTAACCTCCTTTCACAATGATGTCTAATCTGAACAATACTGCGATAGATATGCACCTATATTTATATAGAAATCTTAAAATGTCGATAAATAGTTTTAACTGACGAATAGCCGTGTCTAACTTCTTTTGTTGTTTTGTCTTCTTGTGGGGGGGTGCCGACCAGGAATGATTTGCGTTGCCTGTCGCACCTTTATCCGTTCGTTGCTGTCATCTATGACTCGGACCTCCGCGCCGCTTTAGGTTTTCTGTTGTCAATTATCAGTATAATGTACAAAGGAGTGCCGCCCTGTTTACTGGGAGGCAGATGACGCGTTTGGGCGGTATCTGCGCTGAATCCCCGCACCTTCGCCACCCGAGAGTATACAAAGGCTCTCTGCTTGTATTTCCAACCTCCTTTTGTGCTTGGATAAGTATTACTGCTGAAAACAGTGTGTCGTTTACGCAGATGAAGAAGAAAGGCTGGTGAAAAGGTCAAGGTGGATCCAACGGCACCTTCCTAGAATCTGCCGCATATTATTCGTCACTTAGTGATTTGTTAATGGCCAATGCAAAAATGCAATTTTATTTGTAGATTAATATGAAAGTTTATGAAACCTGAAAAGCTGGCAGGGCTGACCCTAGGTGTTGTGGCGCCCTAGGTGAGATTCTGCTTAGCAGCAAAAAAAAAATTCAAAATAATTTTTATACAAAAAAATCAGCAGCACGGTGTGCCTGTTTCACAAGAGAAGTAGTGGAATATTAAAACTAGTGTAAGTAGCTTTAGCGGTACAAAATACGTGAGGCAAAGAGGCTGTACACCTGTGGTCATATGCAAATGTAATTTTGCTGGGTATCACCTCTCGGTTTTTGCATGTGTTTTTCTGATGCAAATTACTAACTAAATGACATAGACCACACTGCAGGTGACAACACATGTGACTGGCGACTGTGGAGCTGGCATTGTTAGCACCTTAATAAAGGAGGTAGCGTGGTACAGCTCCAGCAGAAACACAGAGGGCCTACAGTCGCATTAATCTGCTTGATTCAGTACAGACTTTTGTCCAAAGTGCCTACCGCATTACACTGTGAAAGCTTGCTACTGCAACAAAGAGAGAGCATCAGATGGGAAGAACATGGGTAATTAGCAGGAACATTTCATTTTCAAAGAGATTTTGGCAATGATAGACATGAGAAAAACATTATGAATGGTCAGGGAAAATTATGTAATGATGGCCTGTTAACTGGTGACTATGCAGATTCAATAGGAAATGTTATACACTGAATTATTTCAGTACGTTGTTCTATAACAACATTAAAATGACAAATTTCATGATTTATATATCAGCAGCTTCTACTTCCAGTCTCCATCAGGTTTTTATCTGCTAGCTCATTACAGGTTTTTGTCTGCTGGCACGTTACAGGTTTTTGTCTGCTGGCTCATTACAGGTTTTTGTCTGCTGGCTCGTTACAGGTTTTTATCTGCTGGCACGTTACAGGTTTTTGTCTGCTGGTGCAACCTCGAGGAAGAGCTGAAGGAGCACTGTGAGCCGGTCCAGCAGTCCTGGGCACAGCTTGTAGTGGATGAAGGGCACATAGATGATGATGCCGCTGAGGATGAAGAGGGTGACGTACAGGTATTCTATCTGCGGGTCGTCGATAACGGGTGCCAGCACCAGGAAGATGGCGGCAATGAGGACCAGGATAGGAATGACGATGGGCACCTGGCAACACATGCGGGAGGGGATCAGCAGGGGGTAGCAGAGAGTGGGAATGGGTTGCACGCGGAAGCCTGATAACTGTAATAAATACTCTATTAACACTGAAGGAAATCAAAGGTTTACAGTAACACAATACACACATGGTTGGTTAGTTAGGTGGCTGGTAGGTAGGCAGGTAGCTATCTAGTTAGCTAGTTAGGTAGAATTGCTGACAGTAAAAAAAGACATTTACACATTAATAGACAGTAACAGTGCAAAGAATGTCAGGGAAAATATTATATGTAATTCTGTAGTAATGGCTCAGGAATAAACAGCATTGCACTGTGGGTATTACATAGTAAATGAATGAATGTCCCGTGAATGTGTATAAGCAGTTCTGGTCTATTCAGCCCTAATCGCTCCTGTCATAGCCGCAAAGGCGCCCTCCCACCAGTGGAGGTCACTGAAGAGTTTCAAGGCACTCCCACCTTGTATGGCCTGGGCAGCTCTGGTTTCTTGACTTTGAGGTAGAGCAGGCCGGACACAGTGATCCCATAGAAGAACCAAGCTGTAAAGCTGCAACAGTGGCCAGACAGGACGTGAGCAAAGGCAAATGAGCGCGCCTCCAGGGCTGCTAGCCTCATAACCTGCCAGTAGGGGCAGCACAGGAGCTGATTATCCTGCCTCAACCTGTCTGCTGCTGCAGAAACCCTAACTCAGTTGTCAGTGCTGTGAGACAGTGCAGGCTGGTTCCCCCGAAGTGCTGCTTACCCAGCTTCTCATTTAATTATTCTGCACATCTGCTATTTCATTTGGCATTTAGCATGTAGCTTATTTGCACTTTCTTTTAGAAATGTTCCCCAGGTCGAGTCAGTGTGTAGCATGGTCACGTATGGTTATGGTTAGGGCTCGGTCAGGGTCAAGGTTGTCATGTTGTAATTAGAGTGTTCCCCATAGAAATGAATGGAGAGTCCCCACAAAGATCAATAATTCCAAACCCCTGTGTGTGTGTGTGTGTGTGTGTGTGTGTGTGTGTGCCTTATAAAATCAGCCTATTGGATGTTCTCTCTCACCACTTCCACCCATGAAGGAGCTGTAAGTTTTACTGACACAACTAGGTCTATAAACAGATAATGATCCAACAATAGGACACAGGATCATGCCTGTACCCTGATCTATAGCCATCATTTATCATATGATTTATAAAGGGCTAGTAACACTTTATTACTCATATCTTGGCCAGGTGTTATAAAATTATCCAAAACTGAAAAATCTGGTTAAATTGTAACATGTCAGGGTGCTTTTCGGTGAATCAATCTTAATTATTTTTCATGTTAGAGCTTCTCTTACATTCTGCCTCTTGGAATTAATCCAGGTCTGTCCATGGTGTGTTTCCCAGGTTGTCCAGGAGAGGTCAGCGCACTTACCTGAAGAAGTTGATGATGCTCTGGAAGTCACCGGGAATCAGCACCAGCAGTGCGATGGCGGTGGTGAAGATGAGGGCTGGTGAAGGGGTGAGTCGACGGACATGTGCCATGGCCAGGATATCGGGCTAGACACAGAGCATAACAGCCTGAGAAGTGCTCTGGACCTGACCTGCCTGGACATGGCCCTCTTGGACCGGGCCTTTCTGGACCCTGGCCCTCTTGGACCGGACCTGCCTGGACCTGGCCGTCTTGGACCGGACCTGCCTGGACCTGGCCGTCTTGGACCGGGCCTGCCTGGACCCTGGCCCTCTTGGACCGGGCCTGCCTGGACCCTGGCCCTCTTGGACCGGGCCCTCTTGGACCGGGCCCAGGTGTGTTTGTGCAGATGATACTGAATCTCTCCTAACGGCATCATGCACAAGGACCTGGAATTCATCCTAGCATTCGACTCTGAGGTCCCCAAAATTCAGCTGGCTCACCATGTGCCCCTCCCGGGCGGCCACAAAGCACACACGGCCTCCGCTGAAGAAGGTGCCATTCAGGGACCCGAAGGCAGACAGAGCAGCCGCCACGGACATCACCACACCCCAGCTGCCCAGAACCTTGTTCCTGTTGTTCCAGTGGAAAATACATAGCATAACAAAGTTGACCAATAAGAAGCCAGTATGGACCTGAAACATAGTAATGTTAGCAAAAAACATGGGAATGTTGACCAGAAAGTAATGGGTGTGACAGGTGGCAGTGTTGACTAAACAACATAGCAGAATTGACCAGTAAGATGCCAGTGTGAAAAGGAGGCTGTGATGTTGATGAGTAACAAACAGGGTGTGGACACGTAAGGGGGGCAATGTTAACAAATAACATAGAAAACTTGACCAATAGCTGACAGGTTGGAAAGTTCAGTGCAGTGGTTTGGACGAGCAGAGCAGCAGTGTTCAGTAGTAGATTGACAGCGAGGAATGTTAAGTTTTGATGAACACAATGTGATCTTGAGAGCAGGACTAAAGGGCTGGAGGCTGAATGGAGCTCACAGTGCCCGATGCGGAGCAGGACGGCCCTTTCTGAGAGTGTGGCCGGCTTACCCCCAGGTGACAGCCACGGCACTGGAGGACACGAGCTCCTGCGGAGTCATGGCCGCCAGGTAGCTCACATTCACCAGCAGGTAGAGCACGGTGACCATGGGTATAGCGATCATGACTGCTCTGGGGAGGTTCACCTGGGGAGAGAGTGTGTGGGGGGGGGGCATTAAAACACAAATACAGTTGGTGAGAGTTTCAGGTAACACGCCATAGCCACCATGCTGCTAAAGTGCATCATTGTTGCCCATGTCTAGCCAGGTGAACGGCTCTGGTGTGCAAGTCGAGAGTCACGGATGAGTCACGCTGGCTGAGCATGTCAGGAACAGTGCCTCTGTGTGTGACTAAGCATTTGTGCGTTTGTGTGGTTCTTTGCCGCCAGCTCAGTGAGTCATTGCTGGAGTGAGCTTCATATGAGGAGTCACTGCTCTCGAGGGCCCCATAATAACACCCCAAAGTTCTGAGGGCCCGTGCTGCTCCTCGGGGCCCCAGAATGACAGCCCAAAGTTCTGAGGGCCCGTGCTGCTCCCCGGGGCCCCTGAATGACACCCCAAAGCTCCTGTCTGAGGGCCCGTGCTGCTCCCCGGGGCCCCTGAATGACACCCCAAAGCATCTGTCTGAGGGCCCGTGCTGCTCCTCGGGGCCCCAGAATGACAGCCTTAAGCTCTAAGGGCCCGTGCTGCTCCCCGGGGCCCCTGAATGACACCCCAAAGCTCCTGTCTGAGGGCCCGTGCTGCTCCTCGGGGCCCCAGAATGACACCCCAAAGCTCCTGTCTGAGGGCCCGGATTGCTCCTGTCTTAGGCAGCCAGTCAGCTTGGGAGCACAGAGCGTCACACAGACAGGAAGAGCTTGCTGCATTAAACATGCAGTTACTTATTACGGTGCTGATGACACATGTCACTGGCTTATTTACCTTTTAGAGGCTTCAATCATTGCATCTCTCCTGTGATTTTAGCGATAAGGAAAATCCCAGATCTGGGGTATGACTCGCCTTGATCTGGGAGTCACCGAGCATCACGGGAGACCCTCGTACCAGTCTTGGTGCAGCTGAGTGGTCTCCATCAAGCCTCACTGAGATGGTCCCATTGCGCTTATCTTACTGTATTGCATATCAAAGGTTTCCTGGAAACCATTTTGTTTCACACAGCTAGCAGTAAAGCAGGAAGTATTTATTAAAAGTTTTTTGACCTGCGTCTTGCTGACATTAACTGTTGGGCAAATGGACGGTCACGTGCCAATGGCGTTACCTCAGGTTGCTTCAGCTCCTCGATCACATAATTCAGGTTGTACCAGCCGGCATAGCACCAAAGGCCTTGGTAGAGAGCGATTCCTATGAGGTTCACCTCCAGCCGGGTTCCCCCAAAAGCATCCCGGAAGCTTCCGGTGTGGCCCTGGGCCAGAATTACCATTCCCCCAACGAGGATGATGAAGAGGGCCATCAGCTTAGCTGTCAGGAAGAGGACCTGGATGGACATGCTGAGGCGGACGCTAAGCACGTTGATGGTGGCCACCAGTAGGAGGCACGCCACGGCCGTGCACTTCACCACCACTTCTGGCGGGGGGCACTCTGAGTAGAAGGGACCCAGGATGTACTGGGCGAAGCTCAGGGCCGTCGCCGCCATTCCCGAGGGCTTCACAACCAGTGTGAAGGTGAAGGCCACCAGGAAGGCTGGGGGCTTGCCGTAGATGCGCAGCACGTAGATGAACTCTCCCCCAGACTCCCTGAAGAGGGTCCCCAGCTCGGCGAAGCACAGGGCGCCCATCATGGCCAGCAGGCCGCAGAGCAGCCAGATCAGCAGGCTGGCCCCCGGGCTGCCCACGTCGCGCAGCACGAACTGCGGCGAGATGAAGATGCCGGAGCCGATCATGGTGCCCGCGACCAGTGCCACCGCACCCAGCAGGCCCACCTCCCGCTTCAGTGCTAGCTTCTCCCCCGTCTTTCCGTCCATGGCCCCTCCGGCTCGTCCTATATAACCAGCCGTCTCTTAATGCTGCTTTCACTCCAAGACAGACCCACCACATAAAGATCAAATGTCAATGCTAACAATGAAGTAAAGCAGGGCTACGCTGTCCAAAGTTCCCAGTTAATATTAACCCTGACGTGTGTGGATATGTTTTTGTTGCCGCACTCGACTCTGAGATGCCAATGACTGCTTAGAGTCACTGCATTGAGCCACCTCTCCAGATCTGCAGCAGTGTGCGGTGTGCAGGCACGAGTCATGCCAGGGGTTTGCAACCCTGTCGTTAGGTGTTTTACCAAAAGCCAGTAAACGCAAGCTGGGACACCAAAGCCCATCTAATTAGCCCCGGTTGTTGGGCTCCTATGGGTCACTTCACAGCTGTGGTCTTGTGACTGAAACAACCTGTATTAGTGCCATTGCAACATGAACTGGCAACTGCAGGAAGGAATGTGCGTCATGTCATATGGTATGGGCTCAAAAAAACGGTACTTAAACCCTGGCAGTCGCAAGCAGAGCCCATGAAGAACATGTCTGACTGTTTCAATTCCCTCTGTCACGTTATGGTTGTTTTGTTTTTTTAAATGGATGAAATGATATTGCGATGCCGACCGCATCCTTTGGGGAATCCTGTATGCCCCTCACTGTCCTTAAACAGAGAGGCCGGTCACATGGCTAACAATGCTAACCCTAGAGACTGACACTCTTTTAATGCTTTTCCACTGGCTTACAGGAACGAGGCCGTACCCAAGCCGTACTGCAAAGAGACACTAGTTACAGCCGAGTTCCAGATCGCTTCGGTTTTCCACTGCAGGAGGGTCGGCTCAGTAAAGGTGTTGCTGGGTGTGTAGAGCGACAGGGACGTAAAACCGAAGAGGTGCTGCTTTACCGTTCACAGTGAACAGTATCATGGTAAACTATGTGTAAACTATATGTAGCAGTCTGTGAGAATCGCTGTCTTATACTAGCATTAAATGCTTAAGAATTTTACAAATCCATTCTGTTTAGCAGTTCATAGTACTTTGTTAATTAAGAGGTTGGAATATCCATATCAACATCCATATCAATGCAAAACACTTATCTCCATGCATTTTGACAAACCAGCTCGGTTTGGTCACGTTTGTCAGCATAGGTACAGCTCAGATAATGTACAATTGAAAACCATCTCTTAGCACTACGGCTCATATCCGGCTCGGTTCTTGGTAGCCATGGAAAAGCACCATTGCTGACCTTCAGTGGGAGCAGAGTGCAGGGCAGGTGAAAGCAGACAGCCAGAATGCAAAGATTCCCAAGTGCCACACTGGGTGACCTTTAATGGGGAATCGCAGGGGATGTCTGGGAAGTTGAAGTGACTCCGTGTTGGATCTGCATTCAAGTTACTAGTGTTAGCCGGCAGTTTTCTTGTAACGCCAGGTGCTGTTTGGTTGCCATGTTCCCACCTAACTCTTCCACACTAAACTAGCAGGGCATGGAGATCCAGTCTTTTAACGACGCCCTTGATGAGTGACACTGTACTGCTCAGGCTCAGCTAACCCCTCAGAGCTCTTTGCTTTAATTCTCAGGGAAAAGGAAAACCAGCTAGTGAGATGGAGTCAATCCTAACACAGCTGACAATGCAACATTTAGGTAGCTAGTATGATTTATGCCAGATAGTGACTGAGGTATTACAAATACGTCTTAAAACTCACTAATTTTTGCATTCCAAGTTATATGTTACTAACAGACTACAGAGAAGCCGAGGTCAGAATGCAGATCTCCCTAAGGACCCAGATGTAGGCTGGAGCACGCTGTGTGTTTACCTCCGGACTCTTTAGCTCCTCTGTCACATAGTTTAGATTGTTCCAGCCATCGTAAGACCAAAGGCCTTGATAAAATGCCACCCCTATTGTACCGGCACCCGCTTTGGTCCCTTCAAAAGCATTCTTCAGGCTGTCCATCTGTCCACCCGCCAGTACCACCACGCCTCCGATGACTATGGTGCCCAGTGCCAAGACCTTGGCCACCATGAAGAACACCTGGACAGCCATAGAGCCGCGGGTGTTCAGGCAGTTCACCACGGCCAGAAGCAGGATGCCAGCCGCTGCAGTGAGCTTCACCACCAGCGGGGAAGGCAGACAGTCCTGATAGAAGGGGGCCACGGCGTACTCCGCGAAGCTCAGGGCCACGCCCGCCAGGCTGGCCGGTCTCACCACCAGAACAGAGGTGAAGACCAGCACAAAGGCCAGGGGGGGGCCGGACGTTCGGAGGATATAGACGTATTCTCCCCCGGACTCCATAATGACGGTGCCAAGCTCTGCGTAGCACAGCGAGCTAAGCACAGTCAGCGCGCCACACGCCGTCCAGATGGCCAGGCTGCCCCCAGGACTCCCGATGGTGCAGAGTACAAGCTGGGGGGACATGAAAATCCCGGATCCGATCATGGTGCCGGCAATAAGGGACACCGCCCCGATCAGCCCCACCTCACGCTTCAGTTGGAGCATTCCTGGGTGGGGTTCACTCCTAAAAAAAAAACCACGCTGTGACAGTGTGGGGCTTCAGTAAAGCACGGTCACGGTGCCCTGGTCACGGTTCTGTAAGGTCCACTCCTGTGATCGACAGAACGTGCAGTGAGGATAAAAGCCTCACAATGCTGACTGTTATTGAGTGTTTTCCAGATGCTGACAAGAGTTATTTTGGGTGAATGAGTAACCAGAGGTAAGATAATGTTTTCAGGGAGAGAGCTATACTTCTCATACACTGGCTCATCTCTCAGCTCGTGAACCACCAGTGAATGAAGTAAAAATGCTGGTTAATGTACCATTTCTCACTTTTCTACTTTGGTGGGTAAGTAAATTGTTTGCGTTTCAATAGGAGTAACTAAATTAAGAAAACATTTTCACGTTATTACAGTCTTTGATTGTTTCCAGTGTTAATGTTGATAGATCGCTCTTTTATTCATGTTTTATTGTATCAGCTTTAACTTTTTGGTTTGGGAACCTCAGCATGGTTAAGAGAAATAGGCTAAGGGAAGATTATTGAACTGCCAGACTATTGGCACTGACTTGAATAATCTTGGCCATATTTATGAAGCTCATCCAGGGGGTAAAGGTCATTAAGGTGGATACCCAACAGCATCTTCATGCAGTATTTTGCCTACTGCCATCGGGTGGGTACACTCCCTCTGGGAGGGCCAAATCACATGGGTACCTGAGATTATTTGTTCTATCAGCTGTTGGGTTTTTTTTAACTAAGCTGTAGGTTTTGGGCAGGGTCTATTCATACTTAATTGTAATTTTCATATGATGCCATGTATTTATGGTTTTTAAACAGCTTCATATATTTTTTATATGTGTGCTGGTTCTGTTGACTGTTGCCTGCAAACCAAATTTCCCTTTGGGGATTAATAACACTAGTCTAATTTAATCAGTACAATTTGAATACCGTTGATTCGAACAACGTTCTACGGGAGAGAATGACATCAGCCACTGACATCAGAGATATGAAAAATACTATGAGAGTGCGTAATATTACGTTGGTGGAAAGAATACTTTGATGAAAGAGAAAATACATTTTCTACCTGAAAAAGGGTATACGGTACACGATATACTTTAAAACTGTAAACACACGATGATAGTTTGTGCCACTGAGACCAAAGAAAAACCAATATACACGCAAGATCTGCAATTTTTTTCCCCAAAAACACCTCAACTTCATTCCGTTTGTTCATGTAGACACTAACTTAATAAATAAAACTGGTATTATGCTGACAAGTAATTTATCTAAAGTTTTCCAACCACATTTCCTTCCACGCATGCGAAGTATGAAAGCCGAGTGTACAGTTGGCCGCGCATGTGTACAGCCAGCTGTTTACGCATGCGCAGTGACAGGTCGAGCGCGGACAGCTGTTCACGCATGCGTCCTAACCAGGTCGCTCTGGCAGCTACGGCTTCGCCGCTGAGGAAACGCTCCTCCTCCTGCTGCCGGCGCCATATTGCTGGAAACTCCACAGTCGCTGGTGTAGTTCATGAGGGGAGGGGGGCGCAGGGCGACGGTCCCGCTCGACATATAAATTAAAAACCCATTAAAATTACCAAAAAAAAAAAAAACCACAGAGCGTCCACATAGCTGAAAAAAAGCACCACGGCTGTATAATATAAAGAGCCATCGCCATCCGTCGGCGCTGCCCGTGAGTATCCCGTCCATCCCCCAAACCCGACGACATGCGCGCCGTGACGGGTTCAGATCCGGGGTTATTGTCACGGACGCGGGGCGCAAAAACAAGACACTCTGTGCGTTTTCCTCTTTGTCGCCGCTGGATTATCTGTTGTTTTTGGGGCAGCCGAGGCCCGTCGTGCTGGCCGCGTTGCGGGGGGGGGGGCACGTTCTCGTGCCTGTGTTTTGTTAGCTTGTTAGCCGGCTAGCCACTGGCGCTCCGCGGACGGCTCTACTTCTAGCGGCCGACCGGCCTTCCACGTTTCGGACAAAGGAGCGGAACGGAGGCCGCTCTCACCGACACGAAGCGCTCGGAGCTCGACGCGTTTTCAGACCCTTTTATTGTTTTGACTCGGGTGGGAGGCCTGTCTCCCCGCAGCCGGCCGTCGCTTTCACACATATGATGTCTGACTTGTTGTTGTTTTGAAGACGCTGAATGAGATGCTCACAGTTCGCCGTAGCGCTGGTTCGGGTGCTTAATTGATATTAATTGTTTGTTTAGCAGCAGGGGAGCTGTTGGTCATGGGGTTTCCGGAACCTCACGTCGCGGCGCATCGTAAACACGGTGCGGGCAACTCGTCTTTTGTTTTGCTTTCTTGTCGGATTAGCTGTAGCTGGCCGCGCTTCGTGCATGCAGCATCTTACTTCAGCTTATTCTCTAATACCGACTATATTGTTTGTTGTAGTCGCATGCCCGCCTCCTTTCGGTAACGGGCCAACTGGCTTCGCTTCTTCCGCACACCGAGGCCCTTGAGCTGGGTGACCGTCCGAGGTTTCGCTTTCTCTCTGCACGCTGGATGGTATTAACCTGCTGGTTAGGGTAGAGCTGCGACTGCTCTAACCAGCTGCTTAGCTGACGCCTAAAGTCCCGTCCACATTGCATGCGGTTTTTTTTATACCTATATTTTCCCCGTAAATAGGTGGTAATTTTACGTCTTTCCGAGTAAGGACGACCCAGGGAATTCCCCACTCCGTAATAAAGCTTTTACTGCGCTTTCTTCTGTTAGAAATGTGGTTAGACTCGATCTCTAGTCTTTTTCCTGTCTTTTGGTTAAGCTGATTGTTGGCGGCTGGCAGATCGTGATAGGCGGACGTATTACAAGGTGGCGGATGGATGGATATACATCACAATCAGGAAAATAAAAGCACGTTTTCATTAAGAGTTTAGCCTTATTTCTTAACTCTGGTCTTGTTGAAACAAGTCTTTGGTCTTCCGTGCAGTAATTTGACACCGTTTTCTGCAGTATTTTATAAATATAAAGTGCCCTGCGTTGTGCTCGTCATTTACCTAGGTGTGTGTTTCCCTTTTTATGCGATCTCATTGAGTAGATGTTTTTCTGCTGAAATTGCTTACATAAGCATGATTTCATTTTCAGCTGCAAACATGTACAGCACTGGATACCTCTCGACACTACAATAAGCTTGTATGAAACCAGGCACTCTGTGTATCTAGATGAGCTCTCTAGCCATGAGAGCTTACTTTTTAGATGCTGTGGTTATCCCTCATTTGTGGCCCAAAGATGCCCAAGGCAAACACTTTGGGAGATATGGGAGAAAATACTGTCATTATGTCTGTCTTCAGCTGTGTGCTGTTTGCCTCATGCTTCTGTTTGTCTTGCCTTTTTATATTTCGGCTGTCAGATCTGGTTTTGCCTGTTAGCCGCCTTTTCATATAATGCCCATCTGACGACTTAAGCTCCTATAGAAATCTTAAGTCGAGTTGTTATTGAATTAAAAGCAAAAGTGCTTAAGCGTGTGTGACCAGGTTGAGCACAGCTGGTGGCCCAGCCTGACCTTGTGATGTCACAGAGTAATATTTGCTTTTTCCCTGCAGGTTTTCCCGTGGAATGAGCATTCCATGCGTCCTCCTAGGCATGAATGAAGTGGGCTGGCAGGAGACTCGCGGAGGGATGCGGCACGCCAACGGCGCCCAGGAGGCCGCAGGGGTCCGGGTCCCGGGCTCGGCAGTTTTGGCTGGGGGTGGAGGCGGGGCTCAGGCACAGCAGGTCCTGGATGGGGCCTCGAACCCTCACACTTTGGCCCCGGCAGTTTCGGCGACAGTGGTGGGTGCCCCGGGGGGCCAGCCTCCTCTAAGTGGGCGTTCGCAGGACGACGCCACCGTGGGCTACTACTTCCAGCGGCAGCCTGGGGATCAGCTGGCTGGCTACACCAGCAAGCACCGCTGGCCCACGGGAGACGGGATCCACATGGACCAGGTAGTGGCAGTGGCTTTGCTGCCCAGGGGAGGGGAGTCATGGTGGATGGAGGGATCTGGGAACAGGAAGCAGAGCTCAAAGGATTTGGACAGTGTGACAGAAAAGTGCATCGTGTTGCTCAGTTGAAGTGTCTGGCTTATGGTTCTGTGCTTGGTTTGGGGCTTCAGTCCTGGTCTTGAAGGGTCGCTTTTGTTCGGAATTCTCATGAACAACCTCGCATGTCATTGCTCATGCAGAGTGAGAACTGTAGCCCTTCTGGGTTGGGATTAGTGGGTCTGAACTGTCCAGGAAAACATGCCTGAACACACATACTGACAACTATATGACTTGCCGACAGTCTGGGGCTATGTGTAAAGCTCTTATGGGATGCTATATTTCAACGGCACATCTCTTTTGTGTGTAGTTAGGGTATCAAGCGTACTTTTCCTGCTTTCCAAGAAAACAGTGAATGGATCAAAACTAATGTAATCAGATAGGTTTTGCTATGAAAGATTGCTCTGGGGTGATATCTTACTGCTGAAGAAGCCTGACTAGCATTTCTGGAATTTTCCTTCAGTTATTCCAACCTTGTGCACTATCATATTAAATTAAATGTATTGTAAAACCCTGGGCTGATTTTTAAATGTGTGTGGTTTGGGGTACTTTGAGTTGCAGCGCTCTGAACATTCACTAGGGATAAGGGGGGAGTTCTGTTCAAATGGGTGACTATAAACAGATGTTTTCCAAAGTGTACAGCCTGGGCCTGTAGGACGGCGTTATTGCTGCTGTTTGACTAAATAGCTTGTACAGGCGAAGTTGCTGTAAAAACAGCATAGCCTTGCATCACTTTCGGGGGCTGCTCCTCTGCCCTGCTTTAATGGGATCACTGGGAGGTGGCCATCTTGTCACGTGCCCAGGTTCTCAAGTGCTATTTCGAAAAGTCAGATCGCCAAAGCGTTCAGTACGACCTTTTTATTTATGGCCCTTTTTAGTTTAAAATGTCACTTGCATCAGTATGGCTGTGTGGAGAATCGCAATCAGAGAAGCCGGCTGGGCGAGTAACCCAAAAGCTCCCAGTTAGACAGAACAACCACACAGGAGCCTTTGTCCGAGTTGCCTTATCCCTTATGTTGTTAACTGCGAGTTGGGGCTGCTCTTCTCACGTGGCCCTTTACCGTGGACCTCCTTGGATTTACCTTTGAGATCGCGAGGCCGCGTGACAGGCCAGGCAAGTTTTTGGCCCTGTTCTGGATTTGAAAAGGTGCCGGATAGGTGGTTGTTCAGGAGAGCTGTTCTCCTTTGTCCTCGATCCCTGGCGCTTCTCCTGGGAAACGGCGACACACGAAACTCCTTAACCCTTTCAGTTACGGTGTCCACTGCGTCCCCGTCTCAGGCTCAGTTCACCGCAAAGGGGAGACCCTGAAGCCGGCGCCTGATCTCTTGTTGGTGTGAGGAGATGCATTGGTGGCTTTTGGAAGTTGTGCTGCGTGCACCTTAGCGTGGTACTCAGAGCCTGGGAACCGTGTAGCCATGCTGTGTGGGTCCTGCCAGGTGTCCAGCCCCTTGCCTGCTGCTGTAGATGTACTTTCTGACTGATGGTTAATTGATGCGTGAAGAGCAATGGGAGACAGGCTTCTCTACTGTAGCGGCCCACGTACAGAAGTTTACTGTATCATGTTTTCAGCACTTTTAAAAGTAATATCTATTTTTTTTTTTTGTTTTCAGTCATTGGCCGTACTTCCGACATGCATGGCGTTCTGCATCTGATATTGCTCATTCCTCCAGGTGTTGGCTTCTGCTGCCATGACAGCCGCTCATTTGGGATATTTGAATGTTGCTAGATTTGCATGTTTTTACGCTGGTCAGGTTTGCACTCTTTTTGCATTGCTTGTTACCTTTGTGTCCTGCACTTTTTCTGTTTAACTTCTGCAGGATGGAACAGGTGTAATATAACTGATGTTGGCAAGGTGTCGAAAATCTACAATTTTACATCTCGGACACATTCGCTGGACTCTTAGTCTACAGCAGAGGAGGTTGATAATCTGGACCAAAGGGTTTTCCCAAAGCAAGTTTCTTTTGGTTTGGTACCGGATTTAGGCCCGGCCTTCCCAGCCAGTGTCTTGCTTGTCCAAACGTCACAGTTGAACATATGGGGGTTTCCTGTTGGATTCTGCTCAGTGCTGGATGAGCATGCGGCCTGTAGTGTGGTAATGGACGGGCAAAGGTCACGAAAGGTCACCCCGTGCACCAGGTGTGAGTAGAAGGGGCACTGAATGTGCACGTGCCAGCTGTGTCAGAGTTAAGATGAGTCGGCGGGGTGTTGCAATGTGGGGAGGGGGGGGTCTGCTCTAATTTAGTTTTTTTGCATCCCCATCTATCCCCCAGCACTCTCCTCTGTCATGGGTGTGTTTGTCGATTGCCCTGCCTCCTCTGTCATAAGTGAAATCTCTGTTGAACCCCCTGCACCCCTCTCTGTCATGGGAGTGGTTGTGGCTGTTCAGTGGATTGTGTGAAACGGTTTTGTGAGCAGAAAGAGAGCCATGGTCACCCCGAGTACCTTGCTGCTGCTGGGCCCATGAGTTTGTGCTTACGGGTGGAGTGTGTGTGTGTGTGTGTGTGTGCGCGCGTCCACAGCAGTCGTGCCCTGTTTCTTTCAAATCCTGCCACAGCCAAACCTTTCTGCCTTCCTCCTCCCTTCTAAATAAACAGGAAGTGCAGACTGAAAACGTGGGGGTGGGTATCAAGTGGCACACAAAGTTCGCTGACAGCGATTAGCGTATGGCTGTGTTATCTGAGCGGTTCCTGCTTGGCCTGCGCGCCGCTCTCTCTGTTAGCTAAAGCCTAATTCATGCTTCACTTTTCCACATGGGGACGGTCGTCTAGCGCAGCAGCTTGTGGTCATACTACACTCAGCTGTGGATGCGGATGGTTGTGTTTGGTGCTGCATACAGCAGAGATATTCCACCAGACCAGGTGGGGGCAGATGTATTGCAAAAAATGCAGGCAGTAATATGAGTAAACTTTAGTCAAGGCTTGGGCGGTATATTGGTAATAAGGCACGCCCCTGTACTTTAAAATCCTTATGACAAAATTAGCAGGGACCCCAACCCTCCTCCTCATCTTGACAAATTTATATTGGAATACTGTTGTTTTTAAAATACCGTACACCTCAGTATAATGTCTGGCCATTAGATGGGCAGGTACCTCTGACCCCCCCCCCCCCTACAGCTGCTCACCATAACTACTTACAACTACTGCCTCTGCGTTGCCCTCTCTGTGACACCGTGGATGCTTTGCAGCTTAAAACAATCATGACCCTGTGTGTGTCTCCAGTCCCTGCCTGGCTGTCTCTGTTTTACTGAATCCCTGTGTCTGTGTGGCTGTTTACGGCCCTGCCGTTTGTTTCCTTTCCTGGGTGCAGCCGCCTAAACCAGAGCAGTATCTCTGTGTTCTGTGGGGGTCACTCTCACAGCTGTGTTTTCTGTGCAGGTGCGCTCTGTAGACGAGATGAACCACGACTTCCAGGCCCTGGCACTGGAGTCGCGTGGAATGGGTGAGGTAAGCTGCACGCAAACTGCCTTTCAAAGGAGGAAGCAAAACAAAACGAAAAAAAACTGGGATTAAAAGTGGCCGTTTGCCTCCGTTACCTTAGTACCAAACCCTCTTTCAGTGAATTGTAATTAAGGCAATATTACACAAATTGTTCCTATGCACGCATCCTTCATCCTTTTGCTCAAATTTAACCTTTACAGCTGCTGCCTGCGAAAAAAATCTGGGAGACTGATGACTCGGCCAAGGACAGTCAGAAAGGGATCTTCCTGGGCGAGGAGTGGCGAGAGAACACCTGGGCCTCTCGTAAGTCTGCCGACGCTGCTTTGTCTGTCCCGCTGTGCCCTGTAGGAACCTTGCGCGGTATTTGTGCTCAGCTGGAACCTTCCCAGTATGTGTGTTGGATTCCTCTGACCCCAGGCTTTGCTCGCTCCTGCGTCACTTTGCAAAAGTGTCTGCTAAATATGTGTGCATGTTTACTGTGGCTGTCGTGTCCCCTGTCATTTTAAAAAGCTTGTCGTGGCTTGTCGATTACGATTGTTCTGGCGCTGGAAGCGTTGCGTCGAGCTGACTGCGTCGTGCTCGTCTGCCCGTCTGATATTGTCTTGTCCTACCCTACCCTTTCCAGACCACTCCATGTCGCAGCCCATCATGGTGCAGCGGGCGCGACCTGGGCACAGCTTCCACGGCAACAGCGAGGTGAACTCGGTGCTGTCGCCACGCTCGGAGAGCGGGGGCCTGGGAGTGAGCATGGTGGAGTACGTCCTCAGCTCCTCGCCCGGGGACAAGCCGGACAGCCGTTACGGAAAGAGGACTTACGTAAGAATGGACGTCCGGGCCCCTCGCGGTTACCCTCCCCGTTTCGGGGGCAGCATCCTGACTCCCCGTGTCTGCAGGGTGCGAGTGACGCAGGCTCTGATGCGGCAGAGAAGGGAGACAACAAAGACAAGCCGTCCCCCTTTGAGGAGGACAAGGGCAGAGAGCTGAGCCAGGCCGAGGGGGAGGATGTGGCCAACGGCCGCGGGCTGGCCAACGGCATGGAGGCCGACTGCAAGGACTTCAAGTGAGTGCAGAAGTCAGAAACAGCTGTGCACTGTGGCTCAGAGCTGCAGTCTCAGGTTTTTCTATGGCGCCTTAACCAGTGGAGCACCAGCGCCACCTGGAGGCTGATGCTTTCATAGCCTTGGTGTTGCCTATTGGTGTTTTACGTTGTGAAGCTTTGCTTTGTTTGTCTGCATTTGAGTGTGACTGAACTCTCCACCCACCCCCCCCCCCCCCAATAGCCGCACCCCCGGCAGCCGGCAGGCCTCCCCTACAGAGGTGGCAGAGAGGCTGAGCTCTGTTCAGGCCGGCTCAGAGATGCTGGGTCAGCACCAGCACCCCGGGCAGGCTGTGGGCAAGGCTCCGGCCGAGGAATTCCAGAACCAGGAAGCCGCCGGGATGGACGGCATGGAGCAGGTGGGCCTGGAGTCTCTGCAGTTCGACTACCCGCCGAACCAGGTGCAGATGGATTCTTCCGGAGCCCCCGTGGGCCTGTTCGACTATAACCCCCAGCACCAGGTAGGCATGGGACGTGGGCATGGGGCATGGGCATGGGGCATTGGGGCGTCCGGTGACGGTGCCTGGGAGCTGTCTGAGTACCCCCGTCTCTGGCCGCAGCTCTTCCAGAGGCCCAGCCACCTGGCCGTGCAGCAGTTGTCGGCTGCGCAGCAGCAGCAGCAGTATGCTCTAGCCGCCGCGCAGCAGCAGCACATCGGTAAGTGCCCCGCGGCCCCCCCTCCCGCCTGCTTCCCAGCCCGCGTGGCATCTCCCTGACGGCGCCTCCTTCCAACAGGCCTGGCCCCCGCCGCGTTCATGCCTAACCCGTACATCATCAGCACCGCCCCCCCTGGGACTGACCCGTACACTGCTGCCGGATTGGCTGCCGCCGCCACACTCGCAGGTGACCTCACCCACTCAACACAGAGTACCAGGTACTCTGTGTCCTTGATTGTCGCGTAGATGACATGTGGACTGACTGGGGGCCCTCGAGGACTGGGTTGGGAACACTGGTCTAGACTGTATACCTTGCTGGCCCAGTTACCGAGTTCCTGGTCTTCTGTGGAGTCTAAGATTAGCCCTTAAAGAACCCTTGGGATCTTTCTGAACCAGAGTCGTCGTGTTCTGAGGCCTTGAATGTCCCTCACCCAGGTCCAGCAGTGGTGCCCCCGCAGTACTACGGTGTGCCTTGGGGTGTGTATCCTGCCAACCTCTTCCAGCAACAGGCAGCCGCCGCCGCAGCCAACAGCTCCACCAACCAGCAAGCAGCCAACCAGGGTCAGGGCCAGCAGCAGGTACCGCCTCCCGACTCCTCTGATTGGCCCACTGCCGAATTTTCACCCCGCCTTCTGTAGGGGGGGCATTCTTTGCAGGAGATATGAGCCCCCACCCCCAGTGTGGTGGCTTGACAGCAGCTGTTAGGCCTCACTTCTCGTGAGGCTTGATTAGTCTTGTCGTCATTCGCATCGCCTTGTTCAGCTCAGTCTTCGGTCTTCAGTTTGTGTGTTGTGGGTATGCTGCCCCCTTGTGGTCAGTCAATGCCAAACCGAGGTGTGCCAGTCTCACTGCGTAAACCCGTCCCAGGTAATGCGCACTGGTGCCAGCCAGCGCCCCCTCACCCCGGGTCAGGGTCAGCAGAACCAGCAGGAGTCTCTGGCGGCAGGAAACCCCGCGCTGGCCTTTGGCCAGGGTCTTCCCACTGGCGTGCAAGGTGAGCCTCCGCCCGTCCGTGAGCGGAACCGGCCGGCGTCGGTTCTCCGGGTGACCGCCGTGTTCGCCCTCTGTCCCAGGCTACCAGGTGCTGGCACCGGCGGCCTACTACGACCAGACCGGGGCTCTGGTGATGGGCCCAGGAGCCCGCACGGGCCTCGGCGGCCCAGTCCGGCTGGTGCAAACTCCGGTGCTGATCAACCCAGCGGCTGCCCAGGCCGGTAAGCTGCAGTTGGACCCGTTCTCCGGTTGGCGAGCGGCTTTTTCCGGCTGCAGATGTTTGTGGGTCTGGGAGGATCGCTGTGTAAGCATAACGGTCGTGCGAGACGCCCGCCCTGTGTCCCTCCCCCAGCCGCAGCAGCCTCGGCGTCCAACTCGGGCAGCGGACTGACCGGGCCAGCTAATGGCCTCTTCCGGTCCATGGGTGCCCCCCCCCAGCAGCAGCAGCAGCAACAGCCCCCGCCCCCCCAGCAGCAGCAGCCGCCACCCACACACCCTAGTGCCAGTGTGCAGTCCAGCTCCTTCTACGGCGCCGGCTCCGTGGCTCCCAGCTCCCAGAGCAGCTCCCTCTTCTCACACGGCCCCGCAGCCGCCCCCCCCGCCAGCTCCTCCCTGGGTTTTGGGGGCGCCGGCTCACTAGGCGCAGCCATCGGCTCTGCGCTCGGGGGCTTCAGCTCTTCGGGTGAGTCCTGTCTGCCCGCTTGCAAGGCCCCCGCTGTCAAGGAGACATTTTCTGCGCCTTTGTCCTGACACCATCTGATTCCCTTCGCTCTCAGTGGCCAGTTCAGGCAGCAACAGCGCCCCCCGCAGGGATTCCCTGTCGGCCGGCTCGGAGCTCTACAAGCGCAGCGGCAGCAGTCTGACCCCCATCGGCCAGCCCTTCTTCAACAGCCTGGGCTTCTCCTCGTCCCCGAGCCCCATCGGGATGCCCCTGCCCAGCCAGACGCCCAGCCACTCGCTGACCCCTCCCCCCTCGCTGTCCTCGCATGGCTCCTCCTCCAGCCTCCACCTGGGTGAGTCTTTCAGTTTGGCTGTTGCCTGTGTGAGGCGATGATTCGTTATTCATGTGCAGCCGTCTGGAACCTGCCCTCGGGACTCTCCACCTCACCACCCCCCTGACTGTTGGTCATAAACTCACTAGTAGCCCCACCCTTCGGGCCAAGAGTGAGGCCTTCAGGAATGCTGCAGTGCACGTATCCCTCGCTGGCGTGTTGACATGTGATTGACATACCAGTCCGGCTTGCCTTTCTAGCTGCCAGCTGAGGTGTCTTTAGCCTTTAGCGTCACTCAGCTCTCCCCACGTGCTGCGAGTAGATGCGCTCCAGCCTCTTACTGCCGTCGGCATAACCGTCTGCCCCCCCACCACCCCATCCCTGATCCCTGCAGGTGGCCTGACCAACGGCAGTGGTCGCTACATCTCGGCGGCTCCGGGGGCGGAGGCGAAGTACCGTGGTGTAGGTGGGACTTCCAGCCTGTTTGGCTCCAGCAGCCAGCTGTTCCCGCCGTCCCGCCTGCGCTACGGCCGCTCCGACGTCATGCCCTCAGGCCGCAGCCGCCTGCTGGAGGACTTCCGCAACAACCGCTTCCCCAACCTGCAGCTGCGCGACCTCGCTGGCCACATCGTGGAATTCTCCCAGGACCAGCATGGCTCCAGGTACCACCAGGGTGGACTTTTATAGGGAGTGGGGCATGCTGGGATATGTAGTTTGTGTAAGGGGCCCTTGAGTGCCCCCAACAGGCTGGCATTGATGGATGTGGCAGGGTTCTTGATGTGTGCTGGCCTGGTGCCCCCGTAGATTCATCCAGCAGAAGCTGGAGCGTGCCACACCCGCCGAGAGGCAGATGGTCTTCGCAGAAATCCTGCAGTCCGCCTACCAGCTGATGACTGACGTCTTCGGCAACTACGTCATCCAGAAGTTCTTCGAGGTGAGGATGCATCTGAGGCCGTCGGACAGCCCTCTTTCCCTGTGCCTCGGTCCGTCCTGCGCTCCTGGCCCCATGCGGTTCCCCCTGCGCGCGTCTGAGCCGGCTGACACCGTGTCTGTGTCCCTCCACTTGCCCCTCAGTTTGGCAGCATGGACCAGAAGCTGGCGCTGGCTTCCCGCATCCGTGGTCACGTGCTGCCTCTGGCGCTGCAGATGTACGGCTGTCGCGTGATCCAGAAAGCGCTGGAGTCCATCTCGTCCGACCAGCAGGTAATCGTAAGTTGGAGCCTGTTCCTTCCTGTCTTCTGTGGGCGACTCGCCCGCGTCCCGATTCTCCGCCATCGTCTGACATGCTTAATGCACCCCAACTCTCCAGAAATTGTGCTCCTCACCAGTCAGGACTTAACTTTTCAAATTTAAGATCCACTTTAAGCTAGCCTAATGGTGGAAAATGCCTAGACAGGTAACCAGTGCTATAATTGCTTGTAGCTCCATCAGTTCTGTTTTGGAATTTGCTGACACTGAGGTCCAGGCCCAGTTAGAATGGAGCATAATCCAAACCCAGTTCCGGTACTGAACCACCACCCCACCCCCCACTTCCGCATGCACTGATGCCTGTCTGTGTGTGCGCCCCCCCCCCCCNCCCCCCGAACCCCTCACTTCTGCGCCCAAAGCGTCACATTTTCAGTCCAGGCATGGATTCGCAGCCAAATTCCTACCCACTTCCAGATCAACTTCACCCCCCCCAGTCCCGGGAAGCCCGCTGCTGGGCGCATCCGCTCAGAGAAAGCGCTGGAAGTCACCCCACACCCCCACATCAAGTATCCGAGAAGGGGGCGATGCGTGCGGTGCCCGTCCCCCGGCCATGCCGACGCTCTCTCACGCTCCCACACAAGAGCCCGTTCATCCCAAGTGATCAATCACTATCCCCCCGCATTGCCGATTGTGAAGGCCCATTCACTGCAGCCCCCCCATGTTACATAACGCGGCAGAATAGCCCATGCGAACTCGCCAGGGGGACTCAGCCCGTCCGGCGGTTGCAGAGAACACGCTGGGCTTCGACAAACACTAATCCCTGCTTTAGAAAAAAATTTAAATGGCCAGCACCCCCCCCCCTGGCCCCTCGGTGTCAGTTAGCTGAAAAGCTGCTTTACTGTCCGGTACCCCCCCCCCCCCCCCCCCCCCCCCCCCCCCCCCCCCCCCCCCCCGGGGGGGGGGGGGGGGGGTGGGGGGGGGGGGGGGGGGGGGGGCGGCTCCACATTTCATGAAGACACCACCCTCCCCCCTATCCACTAGGGCTGCCATGTTTATGTGCCAAAACAAACACGCGGTATTTCCAGCAGACCATGCTACACGCCTTTGTGGCAATGGCCACGGGATCCGCCACAACCCCGCGAGTGCGGGGGCCGTAAAAGTCGCGACGGGGGCCCATAAATCCACAGGGTCCAGGGCCGATCGGGGCCCCCAACTCACATCCACCTGCAGGTGCTTCACCACATGACATGCGCTTCAGGAACTGGACACCTTGCTTCCCCCCCCAATCTCCCCGGCCTCACTCGCTGCATATTTAAAGTCTCCAAATTGTTACTCCTGCATTTCTGAGGACAGCAAGTCCAAGTGGCCAGATCCTCCACGGCCAGGTCAGCCCCCCCCCCCCCCCCCCCCGCGCCTTCTCCTGCCAAAGCCTTGCTGTGTGTGAGCCCGCACTGACTTGTGGGGGCCTCCCCGCAGGTGTTCGTGCTGTCGACACACCCGTATGGCTGCCGGGTGATACAGCGCATCCTGGAGCACTGCACCCAGGACCAGACCCTGCCCATTCTGGAGGAGCTGCACCAGCACACAGAGCAGCTTGTACAGGTGAGGGCCGGCAGTCGAGCCCCTGGTCTGAGTGGGGCCTAGCTGTGCCTGGGCCTGTGCTGGCATTTCTAATGAGAATATGTCCGGCTGTTGTCTCAGGGTGACTGTGGCTTGGCCTCTACCCTTGTGGGTGGGACATCTAAATGTTTGCCTTAGAATCCCCCTTTGAAGAAGTAAACGGTACTTTTGACTGGCTCTGTACGGTAGCCTAAGAGTGACTCCATGTAGGGGGTGGGGTGATTACGAAGGATCTGTGGTGTTTGCCAGCTGCTCCTCTGGTATCTGCTCACCAAGAACCCTAAACCCCCCCCCCC